TTGTTGTGGTGGTGACTCATGTCAGCCTAGCTCCTCCTTCCTGGTCATGTCTCTCTCAGATGACCACAACCTCTTCTCTGGCCCCGGGCACTGTGTGTGCACCTCTGGCCTCCGGGGACCACCTCTGCTATGTGGTCAGCCCAGGCCTCAGCCTCTTGCTGCCAACAGCCGCCTGGATTTCCCTAGGAGAGCCGGCTTTTGAGAGTGTTGAGTTGTCTTTACAGGACCCAGGCCCAACTTCCTGGGGCATCTTGTCTCTGGATTTCTAATTCTCATAGGAACTGACTTAGAATTAGAACCGTGACCCAGACCCAGCCAACCACACCCAAGCTCTGCTCTTTGGCTGTAACTGTAAGAAAGACCTACGGTCTGTCGGGCTTGCTAAGTGGGAAGGACCCTTAGGCTCCTAGCAAATCTCACTAGCTGGTGGGAGCACTGAGGGGTGCCCTATCTAAGGTTAAAGTCCGCACAAAGAGAACAGCTGGAGAAACAAAGAAAGGATTCCATCTTTGAGCAGCTGGGTCCAGCCTTGCTCTCCACAATCTCCAGTGCTCTTGCGTCACTTGAACCAATGTGTGCTACTGAGTTGCAAGCTCTCCCCTGAAAGTGCAAGGTTCACACGCGGCCCGAGTGCCCTGTGCTGTGATTGATTCTAGCCTCTGAGTTCTAGGGAGCAAGGACGTGTGCTTCCACAGACAGCACCAGGTCCAGCCTCTGTAGGCCTCCGGGGTGGCCCGTGGTTTGCTGAGGTGGCTTACTGCTGGGTGTGGCTGAGCAGCCTTGGGGAGCACCTTCTGGCTTGCTGATCTGTCCTCGCTCCTTCCTTCTCCAGAAATCCAACATTCTCAAATTGCCGATAGCAAAACAGCCGCTCGGGAAGGCGTCTTTCCACCGTTCGCTTCAGAAACCTGGCTCAGCTGCTGCTGTTTCTTTCGGAAAGCTCCACCTTGGGGATTAGAAGGGTGTGCTCTTATCTCCAAGTTTGATCTAGAGTAAACATCACAGGCCGTTAGGACATGGACTCTACGTTTTGTTTAAATTTAGTAGAAAACCTAAAGGCGTGAGAAGCACGGAGAGGATGCGGTCTAGAGGGAGCCACTCCCTGGATGGGGAGAAGAATCTCGGCCTGGAGCCATAAGACGCGGGACTCTTGAGCAGCTCCCAGCACAGATGGTGCAGGCGGGAGCAGTACAGCGAATTAAGTATCTTCGGAGTTCAGCTCGTCTCTGCTTCAGGGGCCCATCTCTCCTGTCTGTGTCTCTCCAAGTGGCTTCTTGCCCATCAAGTCACTGTGACCAAGTGGCACTTGGCCCTGTCATCATGTCCAGGGGGCCTCCCATCGCCTTTACCACAGGCAGTTGGCACATTCCTCATCCTCCACCCAGACCACCCACCCCTGAGTCCCAAGCGTCTTGGAAGTACCATTTTTCCTGGTCACTCGGGGGGAAAGATGGGTGTTTCAGAAGTGCCCGATCATGCTCCACCCTGTGGCTAACCCTGCTGAGCTGAGCCCTGGCACTCGAGGTACTCCTTGCCCCATCTCACCCAGCCTCAGCTCCCACCACAGCCTCTGCACGTTCTGGGCTCCAGTCAGCCTGGATGCTTCCTGCCTTACTCACCCATGCTCTGACATGGCCGTGTATCGCTCCACCTGCCTGCCTTTTGTCAAATAATTTCCTTTTCCTGGTTGCCTTTCTCCTCCATCTTTCCCTGTTGGTCCTTCCCATACCTAAAGGCCACCTTGACTCTATTCTGTCACCCCGCAGGAGTGTTCTCACCGTCCCTCGCACTAGCCCATCAGCTGCTCCATGCTTTCTGTGGCCTCGGTCACATTCTAGGGGTGGTAGAGCCATGGCTTGTGCTCCCTGGAGACTTTTCAGTAGGAGACCAGGTCACTGTCCCATTTGCAGAGCATGCAGTGAAGTGGTTACGACCGTGGCTCTGCGGCCAGGCTGCCTCGGTTTGAAGTCTGGTTCTGTCACTCCTGGCCACGTGACCTTCGGTGTTGTACTGAACATTTCTGGTCTGGCTTTCTGAGTAGATAATAATTATAACACCTGATTCACTGTTTACTTTTCTCAGGGCGTGAGGATTAAATAAAATAATATATACACACAGAGAGACCAAGAGAGACCCGAAGAGTGCCTGGCACAGGGCAGCTGCTCAGGGCGTTTGCTGTCATCACATCATCACCATCTGCGTCTCCTCTGTTCAACGTGCAGTCCCAGATGCCACCGCGTGCCAGCTACTGCTCTCGACCGTGGGATTACAGCGAGGAACCACCTAGGTCATGAAGACCCATGAGGTTCGTGTTGGGGGAATGCAGGGAGGAGACAAACAGGGAAACAGGTATGTGGCGAGCACTGCATACGGGAGCCCTCTCGAGCTATCCGCCATCTTGAAACCATTAGGCTTCACTTCCTCTCTGAGCAAATCCTTTCTCAAATCATGTGACCAACTGTTCTCTCCGGAAGTGGTTGGGTTTCTAGGCAATGGGAGAGATACACCCACATCAATGATTGGTTAATGCTGTTCTATCTCATTTGCATTTCGGGCAGCCAATTGGTGCCCACCAGCTGTATATAACTCGCCATTTTTCCTGAATAAACGGAAGTAGACAGAAGACGACGACTTGATCAGCACCTGGTAGTGTGTGTGCGTGTGTTTGTCCCATCTCTCACTCCCTCCCCCAAGGAACCTGTTCCACTGTCTCGCGGGTCGGGACACAGGTAGTGATAAGTAAAAACGTCAGCAAGATGATGGGATAGAGAAGGACTGGGAGGCTATGAAATGTGTTTTCTTCTTCCTTTTTTTTAGGTCTTTGTCATAGGATGTGTGTGCTCCCTGGAGAGAGACAGAGAAAGGGAAAGTGAGAAATCAACCCCATCCCACCCCAGAAAGTTGGCTATGCTGTAATCCCTTTTCCTCCATCATCCTCTCAGGATTTTAGGCACGTGTGCACACATGCCTGGTGTGATTTTCAAGCCACCAGGTCCAGGACTTGAACCACAGTCGATCACATGGGAAGTCAGCCCCTTAGCCACTATGCCACCTGCTGGCCCCTGAAATGCAATTTTGATCACTCTTTTTTTTTTTTTCCTATTAGCGAAAGACCAAGGGGGGCATCCCTTGGTGTGTGCAGTCCCACCGCCCAGGCACCCAGTCCCCCAGGACTGTGAGGACATACAGTCCTGCCTGATGTGCCAGCTTGGTCCAGAAACTGAACCCAGGTGGCTTCCAGACTCCCAGGTGGTGGTCCTGCCTGTGTGCTACTGTGTCTGAGCCTTTATCCCTCTTATATGACAATTTGTGGACATCTTGTTTATTCCAGTGCTCGAAAGCCAGAGACGGGTGAACGGGTGGGTGAATGGTGAGATACTATTCCCACAAGGGCTATGCTCCTTCTCATTGATTCTGGAATCTTGAGAAGCTCTTAGGAATCAATGGGTTTCGGGCCTCCAGTGGAAAGAGGGGCAGAAGGGGTTTATTTTGAGACAGGGTCTCTTCTGTGCCCATCCTTCAAGGCAAATGCTGTGGGGCTCCCTTGACTTCAGGCCCAAGTCCTCAAGTTCAAACCCTTGAACTCAGACACAGAGCCCCGGCCTCCTGACTCAGCTCGCACCACCAGGTAGCCAGGTGGGCTGGACAGGTGCATTGTGAGCGCTGGAAGGTGGTGTGACCAGAGAGGTGTCCTTACACGGGGGTCTTCGGAAAGTTCATGGAAAATGTGTGTCATGAAGAGACCACGCTTATGGATCTCAAAGTTGTTCTGAACCTAAATAAATGCTTTAATTCCATTTCTCCATGAACTCTTGGAAGTCCCCTCAGGTACCTGATTCAGTCCCACGGAGCCCGGTAAGACTGTGTTCCTGGGAACTGGGGTCAACTCTGTGAACCAGAGATAGAACTAACTCCCCTTTCCCAACTACATAGCACACTGTGAAGCTTTTCCCTCTACCCGCCTCTCCGCCTCCCCTAGTCTCCTTCCTTGAGAGCTCATCTTTTGGGAGCATTCACAGCAGTTCTTACTACCCTGTGGCACTGGAAGGGACCGTCTTTTAAGAATAAGAGGCTAGAGACTTCACTCCCCGACCTGATCCCTGTGGGAGCACTGCCACCCTCTTATACGACAATTTGTGGACATCTTGTTTATTCCAATGCTCAAAACCAGAGAGATGGGCGAACGGGTGGATGAATGGTAAGATACTATTCCCACAAGGGCTACAAACTGGAACTTTTATTATTATTTTTTTATAAAGAAATATTTACTTTTAATTTTATTTATTTACTTATTTTATTTTGACCAGAGAGAGACACAGAGAGAGAGAAAGTGAGAAAATAAACCACCAGGTCTAGGACTTGAACCATGGTCAACCATATGGGAATGTCCAGCATCTTAACCACCATGCCACCTGCTGGTCCCCAGCAAACCAGAACTTTTTTTTTTTTGGAGAG